CTCGGCCCAGCCGCCGGGCCCCGCGTAGCCGGGGCGTGCCTGTGCCTAGTGCGCATTGACGTTCTCGGGCGAGGGAGGGGGGGTGCGGAAATGCGGGTTTTGTGAGGAAAAAAAATTACCTTTTTTTTTTTTAAACATGGGGAAGAGGCTGCGTGCCTCCGTGCCCCAGACGAGTTCGGGTATTTTTGGTGTGCAGGTATCCAAAATCCGACGGCATGCAGGAGAACGGAGCGTATCGCTGCAGGTGTCGCTGGCAGAGGGAGCAGCAGCAAAGTTCGCTTGACACTCTTCGTCTCCGGCCGCTGCTTCCAGCGCTGAAGGCCTCGCCAGGCATTAATCATGCGGTGCGAATTTTTGCATTCCAGGTGGTTCCCTCGGGCTGGTTTTATTTCAGCCAACGCGTGTCATCCGTTTGCCGTAACGAGGTTAGAGGAAAAGACATTGCTTTGTCCTTGTTAAAAAAAAACAAAACAAAACCCAACACACAACCACAACTGGCATCCTTTTTGTCTGATAAGCTTCACAGTTGCCTCGCATGGAGAATTTGAATGCCCTAGGAAGCGTTCTTCAGAGCGAGGGGCATGCCTTCCGCCATCCCGGAGGAAAAACGAGCCAGACCCGGGCTTCTCCAGCCTGTGGAAAACTGCTGTCTGTATGTAAACAGGATTTGCTAGCTGAGCCCCTGGACTGTGCAAGAGTTCGGCTCACGTTAGGTAGACCCCAGGCTGGGATGGCAGAGGGGGGAAAATAGAGGGGAAAAAAATTTTAAAAATAATTAAAAAAAAAAAAAAAAAAAAAAAAAATCGCTCTTTCCTTGCAGCTGGAGCCTTTAGCTGCTGTGGGTTAAGCCCTGAGACAGGCAGGACCAGGAGCCAGAATATCATCTCCCCATGCTCTCAGTGGGAATCATAGGATGCCCCTGCATTAACCCTTTTTTTTTTTTTCCTATCAGGAATTCACTTCTACAAGGGAGTTTCTGATCTCTCCTTGCTACGTGGAATGTGAGGACACAAGAACCGCGCTGCAGGGTCAGATGAAGGGTACATCTGTGCTGGACGGCAGCCCTGGCAGATGCCATTTAGGGAGAACATATAAACCAGGCCCCTTTTCTGCATGGGCACTGCCTTTGCCTGGCACTCCCCTGGCCCAGGACGGTAGCCTGGCCCTGCTCACCTCCTCCGAGTGAGCTACCCAAACCTCAGCTCCCAGCTCAGTCAGGCTCCACCACTGGCTCTCCCTGCTGAGAAGCAGTTCACCAGGTGAACTCTGGCAGTGTGCTGTGGAACCCTCATAAACCATGGGTCAATCTCACCCAAGCAAGCATCAGCGTGAAGCCAGACGGCAACTTTTAAAATAATTTGAAAATTATACACAGGAGCTGTGCAAAAAAAGTGTGAAACTTACAGTATGAACCACTCGTTATGAAACTTTTCTTTAAGGCTGTCAAAAAAAACCCTTAATTACTGCTTTAATATATAGCATGAGTTTTTAATTACATTTCCCATGCTACTTTCCCAGGGATATCTGGCACAGGACCAACAGCACTCTCCTAATGAGAGCATTGGGGTGTCTTCTCTGCTCCTGCACCAACCTGCCCCGTGAACTGCACTTCGCTCGGACCTTTCCCTGAGGTAAAAAAACCTCTGCCTTTCCTCATTTTTCTTCCTCATCACTGCGCGAGCCCTTCCCGATCACTGAGGTATTTCCACAGCCTCCTTCAGGAGCTTTTACCTTGGCGCAGGGCAGGCAGAGAGCCGGGCACTGCCCCTTTGGTCTACCAGGAGCGTCAGCTTCTTGGAGGAGACGTTTTTCGGGACGTGGGGCGCTCCGCGGGCACTTGGAGCGCCGCGCCTGCTCCCTGTGAAAGCTTTCCGCGGGGAGTTTAACTGCTGTCACATCCCACTTGGCCTGTGAGAAGGGGGAGACCCCGACATCCACTACTCGCTCGGCGAGCGGAACGGCGGCTGAGGCCACCCGGGGGCTTTCCCGCCTCGAGCGCGTGCGTGCGGGGCAGTGCGCAGGCGCGGGCTCCGCCCTTCCTTCCCCGCTGTAGCGGCGGCCGTTGCCAGTAGCGGCGGCGCGAGGGGCGCCGGAAGCGGAATTGCGGGAGCGCGGCGCACGTCCGCTGGTGGGAGTCATGGCGTCCGTGGTGCTGAGCGAGGCGGAGAAGCTCTACATCGTACATGGCATCCAGGTAGTCGACGGCGGCGCCGGGCGCCTTGCGTGAGGTCCCGCTAGCCTGGGGCGGCGTGGAGGCGGCAACCTCCGCCCCGGGGAGCGGGAAGTCATTCGGGCCAGCTCGGACGGGCCTGGCCGTGCTTGCGGCCGGTGGTAGCGTTGCCCTGCGAGACGTGGGGCAGGGCCCATCCCCGCCCCTCCGGGCTGGCGCCCTGTGTGTGGGAACAGGTTACAGTGTAGGTTGGGGAGGAGGGAGGGAGCTTTCCGTTACATGGTGTCTCGGGGCGAAACCTCCGAGGTAATAATCATCCAAGCACACTGAGAACGGAGCATCAGAAGAGAAAGCAGGCTGGCAACAGGACGTGGGTGTGTTTTTTCATTGCTTGACCTCTTCTTTCCCCCTCTTCCCTTGCCCTTTCTCAAGTTTTTGCCGTTGCATAGAGTTTCAGCCTGTTACTAAGCTCAGGAAGGGTGAGTGGACCGAGGAGGAGGAGTGAAGGACATGTGGGGAGAAATGCCAAAGATAAAAGGACTGTACTTTCTGCAGAGTACAGAAACTATCTTACTGCAGAGAACTCTACCTTTATGGGGATGAGCTGTATGGTATCTGAGGGTGCATAATATCTGGTTTTGAAATACAAACAGACGAAAGCATTTGGGAAGCTGGTGGGTTATTTTTGTCTGCTGGGTCGTAATTACATATATAAAAGCATAGAACTTGAGTATCCCAAGAAAGACCTGTGTTTTCAAGCCAAGACCTTTACACTTTTGCAGTCTGAAGCTCTCTTTTGGAATTGAAGGGACTTAGTGTAGCAGTTCATGTCTGTCTGCAGAGAGCTAGTTGTAAGCTCTAGGTAAATGAGAAGTAAATGGAAAAGCACAGTTGGTTCTGTTGTACTCTTAAGTGAACGTGATGAAACTATGAGCTGTTGGGTTTTTATCCTTTTTACTGCTGTGTTTGGCATAGGAAAAGGAAACTTTAACATCACATATTTTTTTTTCTTTTTTTACTTTTCGTTACTGATTCCCTTAAGCACAATATATTGATTTTCATACTTAGGAGGACCTTCGTGTAGATGGTCGTGGCTGTGAAGACTACAGATGTGCAGAAGTAGAAACAGATGTTGTATCAAACACAAGTGGATCTGCAAGAGTAAAGCTGGTAGGTAAATTTCTTAGGGATTGTGTACTTTGCTGATGAAATTTCTGGTTTATGTGACTGGTTTTAAGATAAGCTGAGGCTATTTGTAGATGGATTTGTGTGTGTGTAATAACACATTTGTGTGTGTGTGTATAGCACTAACTGAAACTATGCATTAAGGAAATAATGACAGGATGTATAATTCATTCAGGCTGGCTTAACCTGCTTGATCTAGATGTACTGTGAAGTACCTGGACAGCCTTCAATCTGAACTAATCTAACATTTAATATTGGAAACTGAAATTGCTGTTGTGCTTAATACCTGGAAAAAATAATTCTATTCCTTTAGAGTGAGGCGAAACTACTTCTGGCATGTGTTGACTGTGAAGAAGATAAATATACTGTGCAATATTATAAAGGTTCTGTAGAAATAGCTGTTTCCAGAACCAGCATGATAGAAGTAGTCATTAAAAGTGTCTTTTTAACCTAGAGAAAGCTAATATGAATGGTAATTATCTGAAGAATCTTCTTGGGTTTAACATTGTCCTTCTAAAGCCTTTCCTTTTTTTAAAAAAAACCCTAAGGTTTAGTTTAAGTTCACTCTGATAGAATGAAACTGAAAGGTAGAAATGTCAGCTTACTGTAGGCATTTGAACTAAACGAGTAGTTCTGTGACTGTAATTCCAGTTGTGCAATATGTTTTTGTTTTCACAGGGACACACTGATATCTTGGTAGGTGTAAAAGCTGAAATGGGGACACCGAAGTTAGAGAAACCAGATGAAGGTTACCTGGAATTCTTTGTTGACTGGTTAGTATACTAGAAGAGAAGGAAATAGAAGTAATGTTTGGAATAAATGACTAATCAGATCTCACCATTCTTCTGAACTTTATACCTTCATTCCGCTAATCTCCTGTAAGGGTCTGAGTAATAGAAACAAGTTATTTTACTGTTTCAATAGTGGTGAATGTTCAGAAACTTTCTGCTGTTTGTGCAGACCCAAAATAAGTAAAACGACAGGAGTTAAAGAATGCAAACACATTAAATAAAACAATCCCAAATTATGTAGTATCACTGCAGCTAGAGGAGAGTAATGGTTCAATTACACATGCATTTAACATGACTTCATGACTACAATGTCAGTTGTCTTTTTTTACAATGATAAAATAGAGAAAATCTCTTTCAAAAATTAAGTATTCTGGAAGAAAGGAATTGACTGATACAGACTGTACTTTAACTGTACTTAAAGATTTGCTTACTTTCCCTGTGAAAGCAGTGGAAAATGTTTGAAGTGTGTTTTGTACAAATCTGTTTAAAAAAAGAAAAATCCTTGCTGCAAACTTCAGATGCAAAAATTAATTAGAAAATTTAGTTATATTTGTCAGTGAATCAGTATTTCATTAACTAAAATGGTATTTGTTTTTAATCTGTCGTGGTTTAACCCCAGCCAGCAACTAAGCACCACGCAGCCGCTCACTCACTCCCCCCCCATCCAGTGGGATGGGGGAGAAAATCGGGAAAAGAAGTAAAACTCGTGGGTTGAGATAAGAACAGTTTAATAGAACAGAAAAGAAGAAACTAATAATGATAACACTAATAAAATGACAACAGTAGTAATAAAAGGATTGAAATGTACAAATGATGCGCAGGGCAATTGCTCACCACCCACCGACCGACACCCAGCCAGTCCCCGAGCGGCAATTCCCTGCCCCCCAATTCCCAGTTCCTAAACTAGATGGGATGTCACATGGTATGGAATACACTGTTGGCCAGTTTGGGTCAGGTGCCCTGGCTGGGCATGAGAAGCTGAAAAATCCTTGACTCTAGTCTAAACACTACTGAGCAACAACTGAAAACATCAGTGTTATCAACATTCTTCACATACTGAACTCAAAACATAGCACTGTACCAGCTACTAGGAAGACAGTTAACTCTATCCCAGCTGAAACCAGGACATAATCATATTCCTGGCTTTGTGCTACAAATGGACTATTGTTTAGCCTTACAGTCTTTGTAGTGCTTGAATTATGAAGGAAGCTGGAAGAAAACCGAGAGCTCTTTTTTTCAGGTTGCTCTGAGCTAGCATAGTGACATCTCAGTGTTATTCCAGACTGTCTGCTGTCTGAAACCACAGTACCCCTGTCTTGCAGACTTTCTAAAACTGTTCTTTATGAAATAACATGCTTTTGGAACCTCTTATAAAAGCCTTGGCACTGTCATGTTAGCTGTTTTGCAAGTGACCTTTATTTTTATTAAAAACAAAAAAAGTTGCTACTCTCACATTAAACCAATATACCATTAGTAAAGCTAAGGTATGAGAGCTACTAAATAAGTGTCTATCTGATAATCTTTCTGACCTAACTGACTAAATCTGCCTTAATGTTTGTATCTGTCTTGCATTATGCAGCCTTATCTAAGACTGCCTCTATACATCACGATGTACTAGTTAACTGTGGAAACTTACAGTTTGTAGACGGAAGGACTCACCTATGAAATAATGGTTTGTCTATGATTACTGTTCAAAAAATGTCAGTCAGGAAGATGATCTTGTCAAATGGGGTCCTGCCATTAGAGGGGATCTGAGCTTGACTGCTTTATAAAACTCGTGTATGAAATACCCTAAATAGTACCCACTTGGTTCTGGTGGCTTCTATATGAAGAAATTCCACTGACAGCATGGACATTTCTTTACCAAAACAAGTGAGGATGTTGCAATTCTTGACACTTTTTTCATACGTACATAAATGTTAGAAAAACTTCAACTCATTAGTGTTAGGTTGTATTTTCTGTTAATCTCTGCTTCATAAAGAAGATGGAAGGGAGATATGCAGCAATATTGTGCAAGGTGGATCTTGTCAGTTCTAGAAATAGGTAATCCTTACTTTCTGTGACAACACAGACCAAAAGCCTAACTTTTAGAGAAGGGTCGTCACTTCTCACATGCTTGTGCCGCCAGGGACAGGCGACCTCTCGCCTCCAGAAAGATCCAAAAAACAAAATAAGCGGAGGCAGCTTGTTCTCTGTAAAGGGAAATGAGATACTGTCAGTATTCTCATGCTTTTCCAGTCTGCCACTGGGTGGTAGTAACTGAGCATAGCTGGATACACTGCACCTCCTGGTGAATTTCCTGTATGTTCCATTTGGCCTTTATATTGTTGAAACTAATAATAAAAACTCAGGCTGCAGTGTTTGCTATCTTAAAATGCTTATTTCTTGAAACCTTCATGGCTTCTTTTACTGCTGAAAATAATAACTTGCTGGATCATGTATATAATGCTCTGCCCCAAAATTTCATTTCTCTTCATTCTGCTCAGAGTCCTTAACCTAAAATCTGAGAAGCGCATTTAGTCCCATTTTGAGGCAGACTTCAATGCAAGGCTCTGGAAGAGATGATTTTTGGGGCACTGATTTGTGATACTAGAAATTAATTATCATAGACCAAGTCCATGTCCTATGTAATGTCCTTACTGCCCATCAGCACTGGAGAAGACGGTTGTCCTGGCCACTGATGTTGAAAGACTGCTGTGTCTGCTTTTCTCATGTTTGAGTTTTGGGGCTGTTATAATACTGACTTGTTGGGGGGGGGGGGGGGGTGTGTTTTTTGACTGAAGCAAAGATTTATCATTTTCAGAGTGTAAGAAATAAATAAATAAAAAAACCAACCAGACATCCGAATTCCTTGAATGCATTAGGTTTTGTTTGTGGAATTAGGGAAGCAAGGAATAGATTTGCCCAAGTCTGGCCATCTGTTCCTCCACTTTGAAGGCCAGACATGCTTTTTTTCCAGCTGGGAGAGTGGGCCTATTTTTGACGCCTGCATAGGAATCTGGATCAGATAGGATCTTACATTTTATAGATGGAAAGCGGTTCTCCAAATTACGAGAGATGACAGTATTGCAAAACAGCCACATCAGCATGCTCTTAGGTGATCCTCAGATATTGTTCCATTGTGTTTTGTGGGGAAAATGTTAACTTAAAACAAATTTCAGTGCAGTCACTGAAAGTATCACTTGAATGGTGGCTGCAGGAAAGGAACTTTTCCTCCCCTTCTCTCTCCTACCATAACCCATTATCGTGGCAACTCTTCTTTGCAGAGGCAAGAGGCAAACTCAGTAGTTTTGAAAGAATGAAATGCCTTTTACATTTTTTTAGGGTACTTCTGCCGTTAAAGATGTATTGTCTGTACTGGATGGGATCGAGCTCAGTTTTCAGAGAGAAACGCTATCTGATGCTTGAGCAAAACTGTTTCGAACTCTGTAAACAGATGTTCTTTTGAATGGCAAGTGTGGTAACAGTGCCTGACCAGGCAAAGACCTGAATCAGTAAATTCGTGTTGGTAGAGTTACCAGTTTGACTAGACTAAATTCAAACCCTTGTTAGCCCAATTCTTTATAGGGTCATGAACTTGAATATCATCATAATTATATTAACACAGTCAGACAGCATCTGGACCTGAATGCCGGTCTATCTATTTCTGGGACTGCCTTGGCAGTCCTGACGTGTCATAAACCTGTTGTCTCCTGGCTGCTTTCCGGAAGAGTGGAATATTAGTGAGGTGGTTAACTTAGTGCTGATTCTAAAGCAGTGAATCTGCCTTCTTGTTTTAAATGATTGTGTGTTTCCTTTGGTGCAAGAATAGAAATCTGGTATTGGTTGCTTGAAGTTAATACAGCTTTAAGTGAAGAATATCTCATGTGTAATGAAGTCCTTGTATATAAGGAAAATAGCTGTAAGCTTTTGTTCAATTAACTATTTTATGTCTGTTATGCTATAATCTACAATGTAATTCTATTAATGGCTTGAGCAATGGATGGGAAGTACTTAACTACTGTGAGAGAAAAGTTTTGGCTGGTAACAGCAAGGGTTTTGAAATTAAGTAGAAATCTGTGGTAGAAGCATCATTATGCTTTAGGAGGAGTCTTGATCGTTAGGCAATCTGATGCTGAAATGGTTTTGAAAGTCTTTAAAATTCCTTTCTGTTTGGGAGTAGAAATTCTGTGCTGTGCCTGGCCACTACTAAGTTCTTTCTGTGCTTCAAAAAACAGGGGGTTTGGCATTTTCTCTTGCTAGTGCCGGACAACCCCTTTTCAGACTTTACCAGTGCAAATTACTGCAGTAGTCTGTGAGCATTAGGTGGCAGTATTTACCATATAGTTATTATAATAGTACCATGCCTTACTTCTTTATTTCACTTTAATTGTAAGGAACTGAAGTGTTAAAATAATAATGGAATTAAGGTGCAGTGAAACTTGCAATGATATCTCAGTTGAGTCTTGTGTTCTTCCTACTCGCTGTCAAAGAAAGTGTCCATTTATAATTTAAAATATGACACTTGATAAAACTTGTGTTTAGAAATCATAATGAGGTATAGATTGAGGTTCGTATAACTCTTTTCAACTTACCATAAGAATCGTAGTGCTTGGGTAACTGCACTTTAAACAGAATGGTTTAAACAGAATGATCTAGTTAACTTGCGCAAAAGCTACTTCCATGGATGAGTGCTTGTGTAATACAACCTGAAGACCTGGCTCAGCATATTTCCAGAATTAAGTTATATTTAGATATGGTCCTATCTTATAAAATTGGTGTCTAATATTAATGCAACTGTGAATAATATTGTGTGTCACACTTGCAGTGCTTATTCATATAGCAAACATAGTCTGGAAGCATAGGTCAGTGCTTGATTGGTAGTAATTAATTTTTTTTTTTTGAAGATGTATAGTGCTGTCTGTTTATAGTAGCAGCAAATAACTTCTATAAAATCCAGTAGGTCTTCCTGGCATTCTGAGTTTTCATCAGTTCTGCAAAAGAACAAGTTGGGAGAATTACTGTGAGGTAATTCCTATAGGTAAGAATAATAATAGGTAATTATATGTGAGCTTATAGACTCTGCAGTCTTGTTGATAGAGCTGACTTGATGGTTTAAGTCATGCCTAGATAATGTGGATCTTTAGTTGTTGGTTTTTTAAAGTTGAAGGGATTATATTCCAAGACACTGTTTTCTGCTGTATGTTTATATTCCTGTGGTGTGCCTGTTGGAAGAGCTAAGATTTTGTATCATCATATAAACACAAAACATACATGAGTCTTTGGCACTGGAAGATGCCCAGCCAGGAGAATACAAGGCTTTGCTGTTGTAGATTTTGAACACACTGAATTGAAATCACTACTGTGGAACCACCTCCTTTCCTGTGCTCTGCAATGAGAAATTAATTTGGGGAAGGTGTGACTAAGTTCTTTAAAAACAAGATCTGCAATGTGTGCTACAGTTCCACTGCTTGAGAATGCTCTTGCCCTTGCTATAAACCAGAGGTTGGGTTCAGAATATTTGTTTATTATTTTGCTGTATATGCATCTCCGGACATTTCTGCTCTATTTCATTGTGACTTGGAGGCAGGGGTGTTCTGGCGGGGGGGGGGTGGGGGGGGTGGGGTTTTTTTTTTTTTTTTTTTTGTAGGCCTGTTTTCCTTTATTGTTATAATTTTGTTCTTGGCTGTGTACAAGGCCCCAGCACCCAAGGACATTTCTCACATGACTGGTCATAAACAAAGTTTGTTATGTTGGAATCAGGGAGTGAAGACCACACACTTCTGTCAGATCCCTTCTGGAAAAAATGTTCTTTAGTTGCTGCTCTCCATAAGCTGCAGTTGCTGAAAATAATCATAGAATCATTTAGGTTGGAAAAGACCTTCAGGATCATCGAGTCCAACCATCAACCATGCCCACTAAAGCATGTTTTGGAGTACCTTGTGTACATGCTTTTTGAATACCTCCAGGGATGGTGACTCAGCCACTTCCCTGGGCAGCCCATTCCAATGTTTGACAACCTTCTCAGTAAAAAAAATTTTCCTAATATCTGACCTAAATCTCCCTTGCCTCAACTTGAGGCCATTTCCTCTTGTCCTATCTCCAGCCACCTGACAGAAGAGACCATCACCCACCTCACTACAACCTCCTTTCAGGTAGTTGTAGAGAGCGATAAGGTCTCCCCTCAGCCTCCTCTTCTCTAGACTAAACAGCCCCAGTTCCCTCAGCCGCTCCTCATAAGACTTGTGCTCCAGGCCCCTCACCAACTTGGTTGCCCTTCTCTGGACACGCTCCAGCAACTCAATGTCTTTCCTGTAGTGAGGGGCCCAAAACTGAACACAGCACTCGAGGTGCGGCCTCACCAGTGCCAAGTACAGGGGAGCAACCACCTCCCTGCTCCTGCTGGCCACACTATTTCTGATACTGGCTAAGATGCCATTGGCCTTCTTGGCCACCTGGGCACACTGCTGGCTCATATTCAGCCAGCTGTCAACCAGCACCCCCAGGTCTTTCTCTGCCGGGCAGCTTTCCAGCCACTCTTCCCCAAGCCTGTAGCGCTGCATGGGGTTGCTGTGACTGAAGTGCGGGGCCTGGCACTTGGTCTTGTTGAACTTCACACAATTGGCCTCGGCCCATTGATCCAGCCTGTCCAGATCTCTCTGTAGAGCCTTCCTACCCTCAAGCAGATCGACCCTGCCTCCCAACTTGGTGTTGTCTGCAGACTTGCTGAGGGTGCACTCGATCCCCTCATCCAAATCACTGATAAAGATATTAAACAGAACCGGCCCCAACACCGAGCCCTGGGGAACACCACTTGTGACCCACCACCAACTGGATTTCACCCCATTCACCACAACCCTCTGGGCTTGTCCATCCAGCCAATTTTTTACCCAGCGAAGAGTACACTCGTCCAAGCCATGAGATGCCAGCTTCTCAAGGAGTATGCCATGAGAGACAGTGTCAAAGGCCTTGCTGAAGTCGAGGTAGATAACATCCACAGCCTTTCCCTCATCCACTGAGTGGGTCACCTGGTCATAGAAGGAGATCAGGTTGGTCAAGCAGGACCTGCCTTTCGTAAACCCATGCTGACTGGGCCCAATCCCCTGCTTGTCCTGGACTTGCCATGTGAGCGCTCTCAAGACAAACTGTTCCATAATCTTCCTTGGTACCGAGGTCAGGCTGACAGGCCCGTAGTTCCCCAGATCCTCCCTC